GGAAGAGCATCATTTCGGACGTTTGCTAGAAAACGGAACGCACGGAGACGGGCTCTAACCCTCAAGGATCGAAGGGAACAAATTTGGTAATTTCCCCTGACCTCTGAATTGGTCAAATAAAATATCAAGAAAAAAAATGAAATGTTTTCAACACCACCTCAAGAAACATTCAGAAAAGAACACAGAGAGCAAATCCACCAGCTACACATACCAAGCTTTCTCCTGCAGCGTTTTTCTTATTTTTCTGTTTCCTTTTCTTCTTGCGGAGTTTGCCACTTGTATTAGACTGACAAAAGAAGCTCATTTTGGTCAATGGAAAGACACAATGACATCTTAAATCAGAGAACTAAAGCAGCCAGCTGCAGGGGGACAGCCAGCTGCAGGAAGACAGAGCAGCAGGCCCACCGCCCGGCCGTCCACCTTCTGAATGTCCTATGAATGCACCCACTTCTCTCCAGCAACTGACACCTCCCACTGGTCTCCCTGACTCTGGCTGGCCCCCACCTTTCTGAGGTCTCCCTGACCCACTCACGGGGTCTGGACTCTCCGCCCACCAGCCCTCCGCTCTCACCCGTCACCGTGTCAACCACTCCCGGCCACACTCAGCCGGCCTGGAACCCAGGGCTCCGCACCGCAGGCCGCCACACCTGCAGTCCCCCCACCTCGAGACCTCTCGTTCCTTTCCCCAGCCACCACCTTCCATCAGTGTGAAGGTCCTCGAGGAAGCCCCCCAGCACCCCAAGACCAGTCGAGGGCCCAGCTGCACCAGAGGTCCCTGGAGGGCACAGACTGGCTCACAGTGAGCACTGGCTGGGTGAGTGACGAAGAGCCTCCTACAGGGACCCCCTTCCTCACCGTGCTGCTCAGGTGCCACACCCAACCCTGACCTGGCCTACGTGTCTTTTCAAGGGCACCCACCAAGGGCCCTGGTCCACCCGGCCCGAGCTGCACACACACAGTTGCAAAGAACACACCCCACCTGGGCAGAAGGGCACTCTCCCAAAACAGAGGGGGCAGGCCTCGTGCCAGGGAGACATGTCTAGGGGACCCAGACTATGGCCCCTCGCCAGCCGCCACCAGTCTTGAGGACTCCAAGCCAATCTGATAAGGGCTCCCAAGGAAGTCTGCGGGCAGCCGGGCAATTCACAAAATGGCCCTCAGAGAATGCCAGCGGGGTGTGTAGGGGGAGCTGCACCTGCTCTGGGGGAACCGCCGCGTCCGTCACGTCGCCATCCTTCTTGGACTCTGAGTGTCCACTCTGGGCCCTCCTTTTGTTCCCCGATGCTGCGGCGTCGATGAGCAGACAGTCGGTCCTGTCCCCGTTCACCCCGGGCGCCTCCTCGAGGTCCTCGATGTTTATCTGGAAACACAGACGGGGGAGCAAGGGCGTTATGGGTGCGTCCTAGTCACAAATGAAATGGTGACTCTCAGATGCGTGCGTGTCGTGGGGAAAGGTGGGCAGGCACCTTCCAGGTCGCTGAGGTTGTAGACGGAGGACCACAGACGTCCAGTAGCCCAGTGGCCACGGCGCTCCCCTCTCAGCAGCGCGGGGCCAGGGCCACTTTGGTCATGGTCCCAGAGAACGCTGGGGCGCTGTGTGGCTACGGGATCTGTCCTCAGAGTGGCATGAGGAGGAATCCCACACGGGACAACTTCTCCCCCTACCGAGCACCACCCCAGAATAAACACACACGCTCAGCTAATGCCTCACTCTTCCCTCCTCCCACCTGGACTCCGGCCAGCTGTTCTACACCAGCAGACAGGGCCAGTGCCTGAGGGAAGACAAGGCCCAGGAGATACTCAGTAACAACAATGGTAACGCATCCATCAGGGGAGCCTTAGACAGTGGTGAACAGGGACAAACCACGCTCGTGTGCACACACAGACCTCAGGAACATGATGCAGAAAGGAAGGTCCCAGGAGACTCACACCCTTGCTCTGGAGGAGACGGGGCAGGGACAAGTCACAGGACAAGTTCTGGCCCTTCTGCTAGTAAATGAATCAGCAAACAAAAGAGGCGACACGCAGTACCAACACCACGCTTCACGAGCCAGATCAGAGGGATGCAACCTGGTTCACAGAGGTCGAAAAATAAATTTTAAAAACTACATAAAAGAATCAGAACTTCCAAAAAATATAAAACTAAAAAAAATTAAAATAAAATCCACTCTAAACCCCAGAACCCTGAGATGATTTCAAAACAAAGCTGGGGGGCTTCCCTGGTGGCGCACTGGTTGAGAGTCCGCCTGCCGATGCAGGGGACGCGGGTTCGTGCCCCGGTCCGGGAGGATCCCACGTGCCGCGGAGCGGCTGGGCCCGTGAGCCGTGGCCGCTGAGCCTGCGCGTCCGGAGCCTGTGCTCGGCAACGGGAGAGGCCACAACAGTGAGAGGCCCGCGTACCGCAAAAAAACCCAAACAAACAAAAAAACAAAAGTGGGCCGAAGTCCTCAGCGACTGGTCACTGCCTGTCCCTGCGGGGCCCGGGGCTCCGACGTTAGTCTCAGGGGAAGGGACGCACGCGCGTCTGTACCCCCTGGTTTCGCATCTTCACCAGCGGAGGTTCCCACGTGGCAAGGATGAAGCTCCGGGCTGTGTGGCGCCCGCCTGTCTAGCAAATTCACAGATCGTTTTCTGTAACGACAGCACCACGCAGACCGCGGTGGGGACAGCACCGGGACGCCAGGCCCCGCCGTGGACCTTGGTGTGCAGGGAGGAGCTGCAGTGAGGGCCCCACGGGCGGTTCTTCTCCACAGCAGGGGGCCCGGAGGAACAGCCCCAAGCTTTGTCCGGCATTCAGCACTGGTGACGCCTCCCAGGGAAGCCCGGGACTGCTTTACTTTTAGTAAGTCATGCTCACATCCTTAAAAAGAAAATTCTCATTTTTGAGCCCCCTGTGGAAGCCTGAGGTGTTTCCAGAAATCCCCGTTTATAAGAGGCTCCACGCCAAGGTCAGCGTCAACGGAAGCAGAACTCTGACTCCTGCACGCAGGGCCCTGCGGAGCTCTGGGAAGGAGCACGATTTGCTGCCACCCACGCTGCCCAGCGTCCTGCCATCAATCTGACTTGCAATCCAGGAGCTGCCATGGTCATCAGTTTCGAGGTCCCAAACGGGTCCCTATTTCCAGAGGGTCTTGTCTGCTGCCTGTGTGCTCTCTGGAATCCCCAGGACAAGGCACCATGAACACTTCAGTAAGGACGGGGGAGGGGATGGATCTCCGTTGCGGGGTAGGAAGCTTTTTCTTTAAAAAGCAAAACAAAACCGTGGTACAATTTACATCTCTTGAAATGAACGTACAGGGCAAGTTTTGGCAGAGCTGTGTAACCTATACTCTTATCAAGAGACAAAATTCTCCCGTTATGCCAGAAATACAGGCCTCATTCCAGCCCCAGCTAAGCCTCCTGCTGATGCTGGCGAACCCTAGGGTTTTCACCACTGTGACTTTGCCTGTCCCAGGACACCATGCCCACATGGTCAGTGTCTTCTGAGGTTTGTCCCGTTCTTGTATTAGTCGTTAGCTCCTGGTTCCCGGTGACTAGTATTCCTTTGCATGGATTATACCACATTAGTTTATCCACTGGGAGTCTTTTGTTTCCGTTTTGAGGTTACTGTGGATTAAGCTGCTGTGAAGATTTGTGAAGTCTTCTGGGTAAGTGTTCACAAGTGGTTGCTGGGGTGTGAGGCGTCAGGTTTATGCTGAATTGCCAGGCCTGTTTCCAACGGTCGGACAATTTCATCCCCCGCCAAGGCTGCTGGCCCCAGCAGCCTTGAGCTGCTCTCATTTTGGCCATACTGGTGGGTGCACAGGGGTATTGCATTACGATTTTTTTACAATTTTTTAAAATAAATCTATTTAGGGGGCTTCCCTGGTGGCGCAGTGGTTGAGAGTCCGCCTGCCGATGCAGGGGACACGGGTTCGTGCCCCAGTCTGGGAAGATCCCACATGCCGCGGAGCGGCTGGGCCCGTGAGCCGTGGCCGCTGAGCCTGCGCGTCCGGAGCCTGTGCTCCTCAATGGGAGAGGCCACAACATGAGAGGCCCGCGTACCGCAAAAAATAAAAAAAAAAACTATTTATTTATCATTTTGGCCCAGTACACCTTAGTATCGAGCCCAGACTCCGAGCAGGTTTCCGGAACTCCTTCTCTCCAGCACCCTCCCCCTTAACTCCAGCCTCTTGTACAGACCCCACATCTGACCTGCCCCCTGGCTCAGCATGAGCTCCACGATCTGCTGGGCCAGCCTCCCTGTGCTTGTCTCTGGAGAACGTCTCCAGTCAGAAAGCCGGCACAGGGGGCTAGGGGACCTCGGACCTGCAATGCTTGTGGTCTAATGTCTGAAAACAGTTCACTCATGCATTTTGCTAGTTTTATAGTTATTCAGGGCAAGAAGGCGGCTCTAGTACCAGTTATTCTGCCACGGCTAGAAGCTGAAATCTTACTTTTGTTTCCATTCATCCACTGCTTGGTTTACTGAGAGATTGTTTCTGGCTCTGTAAAAATAAGCCTTTCGGGGACTTCCCTGGCGGTCCAGTGGTTAGGACGTGGCACTTTCACTGCTGGGCCCGGGTTTGATCCCTGGTCGGGGAACTAAGATCCCACAAGTCGCACGGTGCGGCCGAAAAAGACAAAACAAAACATAAAACGTCTTTCGTTTTAGGGGTCCTAGGAGTGCTACTGGAAAAAAGAAAGTTATTTTTCCTATTAAAAGAGGGAAAACATTAAAACTTTACATTACTGAGGAAGTTCTTCTCTGGCATGCAGTCGGGGATGACAAAGCCTCATCTTTCTACCATCTTTCAGTAGGTAGAAACTGGCATGGATGAGGCCACCTCTGCTAAAGGTTTTCTCACAGACTTGAGGACAAAAGAAGTGAAGTGACATGAAGCTAACCTGAAGAATCTTAGGAAATTACTGTAGCCCAAGACCAGCTGCGCCCTTGAGCAGTGACAACATCTACAGCGGCTCCAATACCGCCTGTTAACAAGTGCGTCTGTTAATGTGAATCCAGGGTCTGGCTCCTGCTGCCAGCAGAACTGGGCATGAAACGAAGATGACCCATGTCCGCGAGTCGACGGTCACCAAACAACGTCCAGTTCTTGTTCCAGTCAAAGAAGAGCAACCTCATCAATGACGCTTTACTTTGGAACAAGTTTGCTTTTATTTAATTACACATTTTAGATTTCTTCCAACCTAGATTGATTTCAGAGACTGGCCACTATATTGTACATGAAAACAGAGAGACATAAACACGTAATTCTTCAGAAAAGAATAATCTTCCTCGCTAAAACTTTTCAATGATATAGAATAAATCCTGATAGATTTTAAAAGCTTATGTGGTTTTCTATCAGATTGTCAAAGTGGACCCTGACCCCCAAACACTAATAAATTCTATTTTTCAACACCATTTTTAACAGTTGCACAGTACGTTATGCTGCAAAACTCAAACTATACCCTTAAAACAGGTGCATTTATTACATATAAATTATATTTCAATAAAACCGATTTTCAAAAACCACTCTGAATGAGGTAGGAAAGTGATTTCTAATCTAAGGCCAAGGAAACTCACCCAAGAGCCAGCAAAGAGGACAGTCCCAGCCATTAAGTCACAGAAGGATGTCTTCCCACTCCCCAGGGGGAGAGGGGGGTACCAGCCCCTAGAAACGTCTCTAAGCCACTTAGGGTCACACGTTTATATTGAAGTTCTTGGCTGTCAACATGATTTAATATCAACACTTGCTGAGTACTGTGCGCCTGGCATGGGCTAAGGGCTGTACACGTTAGTCCACTGACTCTTCATGACAACCCCATGAGGTAAGTAACATCATCCCCAGGAAACAGGGGAGCCGACGTGTATGTTAGGAACCCTGTCCAAGTTCTCACAGGTAAGAAGAGGCGGAGCCGGGATGCAAAGCCCGTGTGCAGAAGCTCGCTCACACTCTGTCCTCAGAGGAAACACTGACTCATGCCGCACACCTATGAGAACAGACACTGTTCCGGGGGTGGGGATACGCGAGGGAACAACAAAGTCTCTGTTCTCACACGGCTGATACTCTCCGGCAGTGGGGGCCAAGCAGCACGAGATAAAAGGAACACGTGGGTAACTTGTAGGGTTTGTTCTGTGATAACTTCCAGGGACAAAGGAGAAAGATCAGAGGAACGGGGGTAGGGGCTGGAACTGTAAATCGGTGGGAAGGGTGAGCAAGACTCAGAAGCTGCCATCTGAGCGAAGCCTGAGAGGGGGAAGCGACGCAGGAACGTGGGGCGTTCCGGGTGGAGGGCACAGCGGGGAGACCTGCGCTCCAGGCCTGTGGCTGGAGCAGAGGAGAAGCGACGCAGGAATGTGGGGTGTTCCGGGTGGAGGGCACAGCGGGGAGAGCAGGGGGACGCGATCAGGGAGAGAGGAGGCGGGCGATCGGGCCCTGGGGGGCTGTGAGAAAGGAAGGCTGAAGAGCAGATGTGGGCCTAACAGGATCCCTGTGGCTGCCGCACCCAGACAGGCTGCAGAGGCCAAGAGGACGAGCGGGACCGGGTCAGAAGGATCCAGGCAGAGGCGACGGCCACACCGCAGGCGCTACACCTGCAGCCGCCCAGGACTTCCCCAGGGTTTGTATGTGGTGTGTGAGCGAAAAAGGTCAGGGGTGTATTCCAGGCTGCTGGCCTTGGCGACAGGAAGAGGGGAGC